ATATATATTCAAAAGAACATACCGTAGAAGAATTGAAGCTGCTCCACGTATGGCACAAGATGAAATTGTTGGCTTTTCATTTTGTATTGCACTTACAAATGCCATACGTAGCTTTTCAATACCATATACTTCTAGTACTTCCTGTGGATTGGCACAAGAAATATACTGCAGTGTTACGATAGTAGCATAATGACGACAACTATCTTCAGGCACTACAAAGTTCGAGTAACTAAATAAATCGTAACGAAAAAAATCATCTGTCATAATTCACAGTGAAGATTTTCAAAAAAAAACTCAATAGTATCTGTTACATTTCGGTACTAATTGGTATTTGTTTCATTTATTATACCAGTTTACCGACAATTCAAATAATTTTTTAAGCAGTCTTTGAAACAACGCCACCGAATCTTATGGAAATAGGGCATGATTACAATGAAGATAGTTCAAACGACAGTAACAATGGAATGACAGCAACAAAGTGCACCAACCCGAGACATATTCATTAATCAACCGATGTAATTTCAAAGCACATTCTCCACGAAGAGCCGAAGCAGCTTGAACAATCATTAAGTCCTTGTTTTTCTGATGTTTCTCCGCCACCAATAAAACTTCTTGAATAACGCTATCACTAAGTACTGATTTCGAAAGAACCAAAATTGCTCTTAATGTTATCAAGGTTGTTTCACTGAAAATAAAAATTAATAAAATAAGTTTGGAATTCTGGATGATAAGGTATCATTCATAATTGCTAAACCTTCAGAAATTTCACTGAAATTGTCTCACATTAATGAAAGATCTGTCGATGAATTTAAATACTTGACGATTTCTAGTGAGATGGAATCAGACTTCGGGTGAATGTTATTCAGACGTGATAGAGCTCCACCAGCACAAAGTCGTACGCTGCGTGCAGATGTATCTTGCAACGCTTTGAAAAAGGTACTTTGAAGTTGTGGTAAAAATGGACGTACTAGCATATCTACCTTAAATAGTATGAGATGAACACATGACATTTAAAGCAATAACATGCATGAGTGTCACAAAGAATTTTTTTTGTGGTGCTTTCCAAACAAATGCATAACCTTGTCAATAAGAAGATAAAGTGTAGTGAGAATGGAAATCTTGACAGTATGCGAATAACGATCTCCAAGAACGCGTATAAGAGGACCAGTGATATTCACAACATTTGGCTGCAGCGCAGTTACAGAACTCAGTAATATAGTGATACCAAGTGTTTCACTCGCAAGCTCTTTAAGTTCTGCATCTCCCGACAAAATCGCTTCTCGGATAATTGGAAGCAAAGGAGTGAGACCCTGGTTTTTTAATAATTAATCAAACACTCTTTAATGCAATAAAACAAACAAATGCTTCAAACTTTTACGTGCAAAAGACTTAAAATAATACATAAAAAACCTTAATATGAGCAAATCCTGCTATACATGACGAAGTTACTTTCTTCTGTAATAATAATAAAGAATGTTTCAGTGTAGGTAAAATCGAGAGCATCTGGCATTGGTCCATACTTCGACAAATATATATTAAGCTTTCTATTGCGTTTTCTACCACTTTATCTACTGTCGAATTGTAAAGTAATAACATGGGAGGTAGCACATCACTAGCAAACTTACTTAGATCGAGCTACAAAAACATAGAAATGAAAAGGTAAAAAACTGCAATCTCTGTGAAGAGAATAGGATAAAAACAAGGCCTGTAAATTAAGATTTCTTCAAAATATGCAAAGCGCAATTATTTATGCTGAAAAAGAGCTTTTTAATCAATCTTCAAATTAAGAATAAGACGGTGCTTTGCAATATTACGATATGAATATTAAAAAATACTGGTGAATTCTTTGCAAAAAGATAAATAAGAGTAGACGAAGGAATATGATTTTCAGCTTGTGTTCGTTGAAGAAGAGTCGTAAGTATGACCAAGATTCCTTTATCTTCTGTTACTGACAATATCACTTTCAAACACTGATTGATTTCCTTTAAAGCATACTTGATCATAAAAGCTCCACTAACTCCTGCTTTCTAGTTTATTTTCTTAATCTTAAATGTCACCATTAACTAGTGAAAAAATTTTGGGATAAAAAGTGCAGATCATGCTATTTTAAAAAAATGAACTTTGAATGCTAGAAAATATTTAGTTCTGAACTTAAAATAGACTGAGAAGAGTACTAGAAGAACGATTTCATTACTTCGTCTGTTCCACAATTATTTAACATGGAATCGAGAATTTGGGCAATGCTTTTAGTCAATGAATCACCAGCAGCTGCAGAGAGTTCACACAGTGCTTTAATATTTATCGGTGGATGCGTTAATTTAGGCAAAATGAAAGGTAGCATTTGCCTGCAAAATTCCACGTAAATTAAAGAACTATGAGAAAAACTTGCAGAACATAATCAACTAAATTTAGCTGATTTCACTGATTACATTAGGATAGCTATCAAACTCGAAAACTGAGTGTATAGTGAAACAACCTTCCATTCATGTGCATAATTTGTGAGAGACCATCAAGAACAATGTCGTTAGATATTATATTTGCATCCAAAAGAGGTCCCACAATATCCTCAAATGCTGAGAAACCAGCGGTCTTTAAAAAAATATATTGTAAAGGCTGAATGGAAATTGAAAGAACAAGGTTGAAGGAATAAAGCTCGTAATACGAAAACCAATTTGATTTTACTATAATCACTTATACTCTAGACCTCAAAAAACACTAAAAATATTTTAATGCTCCTTCAAGTTTTTGAGACTAAAAGGAGAACTAAATTTTTTGCACATTAAAATTAATGAAAAAACCGAAGGAATCTAATTTTCCAAAGCACCTTTCCCGTGAAGAAGTTAATTAGCAGGAAACGATATTCAATACATGTCATTAACCACTACACAGGTAATCTAACCTTGGTAAATTATACCTGATAAAATGATGTAAAAGCAATCGCAGCTGCTCGGCGAACCAACAAATCTGGGTCGCAAATTACTTTTTTGATTGGCTCCACTAATTGTGCCGAGTACATCAAAATGACATCTTTTGTGGAATTCCCAATAATTTCTCTTAGAGATATAGCGACACCGAGACGTTGTTTAACAGACTGTGATGAAAGATTACTTTCCAGAACAGGTAACACATCAATAACTATTCTTTCACCCATTTTTTTGACCAAATCTCCAAGACAGCGTCCAGCCATCACTTGTCGATCATCACTATCACTTGCCAAACAGTTCAGCAACATTGAAAATAGGGTTTTCATCATTTCTTTAAGAGTACGAGGAGTATTCGCTACTACTACCTGCAAAAATTTGTACTTATTTTTAATTAAAAAATTAGTTTGACTGAGAAGATACAACTCAACTATACTGCATGTTTTGGAAAAATAATCACAGCAGAATAACTTTCCAACCTTCCAAACGTGACTGGAAACTTGACGAACTTGTAGTGAAACATCTGAGCGTAACAAGTATATACCAGCGATAATCTGGTCTCTGAAAATCTTACTAGTTCATCATTCTTGTACTAAAACACTATCAATTTTTTTTCAGGACTGATAATACCTGCAAGTCTGCCCCAGTTGTCGTACGATAGCTTTCCCAGCAGATTCCATACCCATCGTATCATCTTCGTTTGAGGTAGCTGATGTCATTTTTCCACTTACACCTATAAAAGCAGCAGTTCGTATACTCGTACAAAGAAATGGATAGTACAACACAAAAGGCAAAGATGGAAAAGAAGTGATGCTTTTTCACCATTCTAATGTTTCCAAGATTATATTCATTAAAATTTAATTCATGAAGCGTTTTTCAACTGAAAAACATATTTCCTAACTTATCTAATCATACACATGGGAATCATGTCTCCACTGCTTAATAAAACTATCAATTCACTTCGTCTAGTTCTGATCTTAGACTACTCTGATTACAGGTATGCAAAAATTTATAAAATTCAAACCTGATATGTTGAATAGGAAGTCACCAATCAGTGTAACGGCTGCAAATCGGATTCGCCAATTATCATCAAACAATGCAGCTTGCAATTGCGGTAATAAAAGTCGTCTAGCGTGCACACAATAAATTGATATCAAACGTTGTCCCGCTTTCAAAGCACTATCACGTACATATTCATTTTCATCTGCCAGAGCTTTCAAAATGCTTGGAATAATCTACAAATAATGGAATGCTATTAGAATTCTACAGAATAAAATAAAAAGTACTATTAACCAATAATTTCCATCCAGATGAAAATTAAAACTTGGTAACATAAATTGGTAATTATTTATCTCTCACAACTCCATTAATAAACATAAAAGTTCAAAAATTGAATGCTATTGTTCAAACATGAATATACAGTAAACTATACGAGTAAAATTGCGGTCATGAAAAGGAAGCGAATTTCTAGTCAGTTTGAAATATTTTTATCAAAAATGAGTATCTACAATATAAGAAAAATGAAGAAATAAAAATAGAGTACCATAGATATATAAGGGATGAAATGATCGCCAAAGGCCATTGGTAGATAAATATACATCAGTATGTAGCCATCGCGCACTTCTGGAACTGTTTCTCTTGATTCGGTTATTTTTATTATTTCAGGCATAATCGTAGGCAGCTGATTTTGTCCTACTGCCTTTAAAACCTAAAACCCGTTATGATATTAAATTAAAACCACATTTGAAACGGAAAATACAGACTGAGAAGAAGACTGACATCACAAGTCTTGCACGCTTAAATCCTGAGAACTGCTGAAAGTTAAATTTAAAACATATTGCAGCATAGGTGAAGATTTGGATACGCTATATACAGCATGTTTCATTTTTTTTTTTAAATTGGTAATGTTTAACAGACCTCTACCAAACCTTGAGCAGCACCTGAACGATCAACAGCACTTGTTTTCGAAACAAGCTTTTCTTTAAGCCATGGAACAAGATCTCCACGTATTTGCGATGCAGTGCTGTTCGCAGAGCAACCGACAATTGCACCAATAGCTTTTGCTGCAACAGTACGTATTTCTGGGATAGGGTCTAGCAGGGATTTCTGGACTCCAGGAAGTAATTGTGTTAGATAAGGTTCCATATCCTGAAACTTCTATTTTATAACTACAAAGCCCAAGTCACACTGCAAGAAATCAGTCATGCCAGTTATTCGTAGACTGTACTATATAATTATCCGAAAATGAGATAAAATTTAAAACAAGTAATCAATTCCCCATATTCTATCAAAGCCTCAATATAAAACATTGTGCCTTATTATCCGTCAAGGAATAGATATTTGCAATTATTTGAGTAGCCATACGACGTGTTTCCGATGCTCGATCGGTAAATGCGCGACAAACAGTGGGTATCATTAAAGAAAGTGAAGCGGCGTCGATATAATGAATGAATTTAGTATTCACTATCGTTTGTAAACATAAAGAAGTCTTTTCGGAAGGATTAATTAGCCCCATCAACAATTGACTGCTTATGCCTTTAAAAGTTACAGCTGTTTTTCTTTAAAAAAAAATGAATATTAGGACTTTAAACAAACTTATTGGGGAGCAAGATATATCAGGTAACAGAAAAAGATAAAACAGTAACAAATTCTGAAAAGTGAAAAAATTGGTTCCAAATATAATCCTAACTAAGAATCTCCGGATTACGAATAACTTGAGCGATTTGCTTTAATGCTTTTTCTCCTGATTTCTGTACTTTTGAATGTGAATCACTCAATACTTCCATAAGCTTGGGAACAATGCTTGGCAAACAAGACGAGAGTTGTTTAGGCGCACAAAATGCCATCGATCCAAGAAGTTCTACTGAAGCACATTTTGTTCGCCAAGATTCTTCATTTAAAGCACTCAAGAGTGATGGCAATACCTAAGGCAATTTCATTAAACAGGCCTTTCATAAAATTAAGAACATCTCTTGCACTTGAATTTATAATCAACCACATAATTTAGCTTCACAAAAGAAAAATACTATAACACAATGAAAATAGTCACACATCACAAAAAAATATTTTACTACTATTCACAGCAACTATTATGATTCTTTATTTAGATTTTCAAACAAAAAGAGCATGAAAATGTGAATACAGAACACTAATAAATTTCAAAAAAAAATTCGAATTTTTTGATATGTTCCATAACATCAAGCACTCACCAACTTAACGCCGTGAGAAGAAAGCACGGACATCATGGATCGCGCTGCATCACTTGCTGCTAAACGAACTTTGTCGTCTGAGTCACCGAAACAAACTAATAATGAAGGTAAAAGCTGAACTATATAAGGTTCAAACAATTTACCCATAGTACTGAAACATTAAAAGGTAATTTTTTAGTCTAAAATAGTTAAATGCCAGATAACAACCTAGAAGCGCAAACTCATGATTTCTATTTACAATTCTGCTGTCCTCTGAATTTTTTTTCAAGATCCAAGCTCTTGAAAAAATAAAAAATACATGAGAGTTGCTCAATGAGTGATAACTGCAGTATTTCGAAAATTATAAAAGATTCATTTGAGTTTATAAAATATTTACCTGCAAAGAATTTCAAATGCCAGAAGAGCACCTTCACGATGATGAGCATTTTTTTTGTTGGCTAAACAAGTTAGAAAAAACTTTATTAGTTCGAATTCTCTCAATGCTGACATCCCAAGACCCTGAAGACAAGAGTAAAGAAGCAAGTAAAATAATCATGTTCTACACAACACAGTCAAGAAGTCGTATATTTAAGTTTCATCAAGTTTTTATCTGGTCTGAATAGATACCTGAAAGAAGAAATTAAAATTATTGCAGAACTTAAAATTTTACCTTACAAGCTATTCATGAAGTAATGAAGTGAAATAACTGAGGAGTCAAATTTACATGACTAAAAAATATACATATAAATGTTGAGCACACAAAAAACTTTTAAAATGAAAAATAAGACCAGAACTTTAGTACTACATACTTTAATCAGACCAGCAATTCCATAGGCTGCACCGCGTCTTTCTCCATAGGAAACTGCTTGAACTAGCAAACATGACAAAGAAGCAATGAGTTCCCTTGCGGAATCCTTAATGGCTGGAACTAATGGGGGCAAACATTTGGATACTGCTTCCTGTACCTACAAATATTAAAACAATGACATGCAGGCTCGAATATGTGTTCCCTGAAAAAATGCATTTCGCAGTAAGCAACAGAATCCTGTTCATAAAAAGTCTCAAAACTGCTGAACGAACCAGAAAATTCTAAAACTCATAATTTGTACGGTTAGTTTACTGTTTGTGAACGCAAACAACAAAATTGTGTTAATTTTATGCAATCTAAGGCTAGGCATAAACTTACAATAATAAAGATACACAAAAAATAATCTTTTAGAGCATACCATAAAGATAGAAACCTGAAAAATACAAAGCTAAAGATGCAAACAATTAAACTAACTTGCTGCGATGGTGTCGACAGTGATTCTATTAATCGAGCTACTATCGTACACACTTTCTCATCTGATGAGTTTAAATGCTGTGCTAGCGTGCCCATTAGAATCACTAATCCTTGGCGCAAATCATCAAAATCTTTACTGTTTGGTACGGAATCTAACATTTCTTCGAAAAATGGTAAAAAGAACGTCATTTCGACTTGTCCATACTAGAAACAATTACCATGATCAATATCCGAAAAACTGGCATCAAGAAGAATGAGATTACTTACGATTTTGATGACTTCAATTGCAGCAGCTAGCATCAATTTTCGACATTCTTGATTTATGTCGCTAATGCCATCAGGAACGATGATTTTGATGAAGCATGTTACAAACTCACGTGAAATGCTGGAAGCAAGCACATTAAGAGCTTTAGCAATACCTGATCGACTTTTCCAACGATCTACAGCATCTTGGATTAATCGTCCAATTTCATCATAAACAGGTGGTTGAACCTGAAAAAGTAATAAAAATTTAGAAGCAAAATGAAAAATAAAAGAGAGAGTGCAAATTGAGAAAAAAAACGAAAATAGCTGATTTGGTGAATGATGCTGAACAACAGTCATGAAGAATCTTAAAGCATAACAAGAATCAATCATCTTAAGAAGCGCAACAAACTGTTCTGTAATCTGAATACAATGTATTCAGTTTTTCCAACACTGGCATCATTATTTGAGGGAATTCCTTCTGCAAATTTCCAAGGGCAGCAGATGCAGAGTTCCTCAAGAAGAGATGTTCCGAAACTATATGATTCATGATACTTTCGACTAAATCACTGTAAAGTGATTTATAAAAATAATATCGACGGAAAACTGGAAACTAATCAAAGTTGGAAATAAAATTAAAGATGAATTAGTTTCGAAAGAAGTTACGAATGTAAAAAGAGAAATTCATACGCTGTTGCAAAAAGCTCCTGATCTTGCCAAATTTTTTCTGCCAAATTAACACAAGCTTCTACAGGATCGTTTAAAGCAATTAATATGTGAGTTTTAAACGACCGAACAAAATGCGGACCACTTTTTGTTGAAATTAAAAAGTTATATAAATGATGTAGCTGACTGAGCCCCTAGAACAAGTTTAGCTTTGCTTATTAGCTTGAAAAAAATTACGCATTTTGCAAAAAAGTTAGTTTGACTAGTTCCTTACAAAATTCAAATTCAAAAATGCATTCATTACTACGCATCTATTCTGCAAAAATAGAACTGACCAGAAGAGCAGACTCTCGTAGCTGAGAATTTTCTTCCACTAAAACCTCCATAAGAGTGTTAAATAGTGTTGCTTGCTCTAGATCTTTTTCTGGACAATTATCCAAAAGTTTACAAAATGTTTTCAGTGAAATCTTGGCAATATGATGCAATTCTGAGACATCAGTAGATAAAATATGAAGTAAAATAGAGCATAAACGATTTAGCGGAAGGTACTGTACTTCAGTTAACTGAAAAATGAATCAGGAAGAAGTCTCGTAACAAATGAAGGATCAAAAACCTATCAAGTATAATTTATTACTTTCAAATATTAAATGTTTTGAGTTATATTTCTGAATTTCGAATTTCGATTTTTTTTATAGCACCGATTTTTTAAAATCTGTAAATCATAAAAATTCAAAAATCTTGAATATGGAAAGTTATTCTTGAAAAACTGCACTGATGAATAAGCTAAATAGATTAAAAGGAGATTTATCTAGTGAAAAAGTGGTGGTATACCTGAATAAAACTGCCTTCAAGCACGGAAGATAGTAATCGCAACGCATTTAGCCGCAGAGCATACGGAAAGCTTTCATCTCGCAAGACTGCATCAATTAAAGGAAAAGAAACATTGAACTTGGGAAGACTCATTATTTCTTCGTCATCTGCATCGATCAGCTCTTCTTCATTTCTTGCTTCCTCATCGAGTAAAACTGGGAGCACACAGCGAGCTTGAATGAAAACATAGCAAATAACTACTCATTGATGTTTTCCGAATATTTTAATTTGTAGATGAAATTTACCTGCCAGAAGAGCAATTGTTTTTTCCACCTGTTTAGCAAGAGGTTCCTGACTCCATGCCATGTTTATGTAAAATGAATGAAATAATCGAACTGATGAATGTAGAATTAATTCAGCTGCAAAAAACTGATTCCACAAAGACCAACATTATTGCATTTCTTTACAGTGAACTTGTACCAAAGCAATAGCGAAAATGACAACTTGTTCTTAGCTTTTTATGAATAGAATCAATCACTTTTATGAAATTACATACTAGTTAGTTCTAAAATATTAGTAACATCACTTACGCAGATAATCTTCAGACGGCTCAAAAGCAGCATCCCGAAAGCTGCGATAAACTTCATAAGCCAAAGACGACACAAGAGGTGATCTTAACAGAGGGATTACGAAATCAAAGAGTAATGATGTGTGCTTCGCTGCACTAAAAGGATCGCCACTTATAACTGATATTAAGGGTTGAATACGCTCCTTGCAGTCTACGTACAGTACCCTCAGTTCTTCTCTGATTTTCTGCAATTTTCCTTCTTAAAATGTATTCAGAATTTCTGAATCAATTAATTTCTGGCTTAATAACACAACCTGCTCAACATTCATTTCTAGTCGTTTTGCTTGTTCTTGTTGTGAAGTTAGTTTGCCTTCTAGACGTCTCTTTTCCGCAAGTTCCTTCTTCAATTGTGTTTCGAATATTTGATCTTTGTATTTGTAAGCCTTAAACAAAGGTTATTGCAACGGTTATTGCTAAATGAACAATTTTAACCGATATTTAGAAATTAAAACAATATTGGGTCGTAAATATCTTTACTTTATTTTCCCTTTTTACATTTTTGCAACCAAATTCTTGTTCATAAGTCAACTCCAATACCGCTGTATTATATAACACTCCATCCGGTGTATTGTAGATTGCAAAATCTCTATCTGTTATTGAAACATATCTAGAATGCACAATAAAATACGTAAGAAAAGAATATCACAATTGCTACCGAGTACATTTTCTTTTGATTAATACAAAATAAAAGCCACATATTAATTTACAAACTTCAAAAAATCTGAAGAATCAACTAAAAAACAACATAGACTTAATTCTAATTCTAATTTAACAATTACCGTTCAACGTCAATATCATTCAACAATTTTATACAATAATTCCAGACTTGACCACGGATGCTTTTAGCCACTTTTTCACTTGTCATAAGCATTTTTATGGCATTAGATCGGATTACGCAATCAGTAGTAGCAAACACAGAATCAATCATTGTGTTGGTGCCTTTTTCATCAAACAAACGATTAACATTCGTTATCGAACGCAACCAGCGATTCCAACACGATGGATCACTTTCCACTAAAACAAGAGGTAAATCATTTTCCATTAAATGCTGAAAGTTGAAAATACGGGAACAATTGGTCAAGCAGATTGACCAAGAAAACATAGGATTCTATATTTTATTAAACGATTAGCAAAACAGTAACATTTAGTTTTTTCCTCTAGTACAATTTCAGGTTAAAAATGACCAATGAAAACTAAGTACTTATCGAGCAGCAAAACTTGAAAATTCCTTGATTTTCGAAATACAGGTGAAACATAGATTTCAGTAGCACAAAAATTAAAATTAAGCAGATATGAGATAATTTAAGGCGGCGCTTTTAAGTTTTAACGAAAACTTAAACTAATTTGGTAAATGATGCGTAACAAGAGATGAAAAATTGAAGAAAATGATCCTAAGCAGTTAAATTTGAACAAGACTTTAGAAATTATAAAATTAAAAAGAAATTACAATTTATAATTCTTTACTCTTCTAAGAAAATATGACAATTACGATAAGAACGGATTTTAAATTCATAAATTTAAGAAATCTATGGGTCATATTGCAAAAAATGCACACATACTTTGAAAACATAAATAAAAATATTCTAGTAAAACAGACGTATCGTATAAAATTGTAAAAACTAAACAAAAAAATACTCACCCATGGATGAACAGCAAGATATCAGAAGGCCTGAAGTAATAACAGTGATACCCACATCAAAATCTTCTTCCACGGCATTGAAAGGAATCATAACAGTATTGACTGCTGCAGCTATTAATTTGCCATCTATACTTCCTTCATTGTGAGCACGTATCACGCTCTTATTTACCTAGAATGTTTCGGATTTGCTTAGTGCTTTGAAAAGTCCTATAATTTGTTCTTCTTTCTACATAACAAACGTTTTGTGCTGGGTTTTTCGTTTATATAAAAAGACAAACTTATAGGATAAGTAATTGCTAAAATTTCACGAGCCAAATAAAAAGCTTCAGTTATTGCTAAGCCTTATAATACATCTTTAGCTAATATAAGCGTTACGTCTAGCATTCTATGATTTCAGGTTCCCTAATGCTGACACAGAATCTGTACTCCATAAAATCAACGACATAAACGGAAAAAAATTTTTTTGTCGTTTATGTCATTGATTTTTACCTTTTTTCACATAAAAAGAGAAATTTTAACCTTTTTTGCACAACTAGATGCTAAATACAGAAGTAAAAAATCCAGGAATGATATACAAAATCTGTTGCCTTTATCTGCCACACATTTCTTGACCAAATGACTAGCGCTTTTACGAACTTCATAACTGGGCCAGCAAAGAGCCATAAACAAGGCATAAAATATATTTTGCATGTCACTCAATTTCTGCAATTAAGAAAGTGACAAAGGCCGTACGCAAATCTCAACCACGTAAGATGCATCAGTTTGCACAAAAATCAACGTAACAAATAACCTCAATTTCCACGTTTTCGATCACTTTTTCCAGTAATTTTGTTAGACAAATCATATCTAAATTACAAAATCTTATAATTCAAACAAAAAGTTGTAAAACGATTTTCAAAACTACTTTACACATAGGCTCCATTTTAAAGCAATGAATAAATAGATGAAAAAAACTCAGGGAGATACCAATTGCGCTCAAAGATGTAGTAAATTTTTCTTTGCAAAAATCCACTTTCTCTAGCGACTGCAAAACTGTGGCCTTAGATTTTTCCTCATTCAGCAGTAAAAGTGAAGCAAAAATAAAATCTTCTGCATTCGATTGTGAACCATATATATCAAATACCAACTTCCATAAATCATTACTCAACTTGAATATTTTGTCTGAAAATCATTACAGTATGTTATTTTCATTTATATTCACCATAATTTGATAATCACAAATATTTATTTTGCACCAAATTTTAGATTTAAAGAGAACATTGCTTTATAACAATCGTAAATATAAATCAAAATAACATACTGTTATCGATATTGCACAGATTAGTCATATTTCTCAAGGCTGCAGAACGATTTGATGACTTCAAAGCACCCTTAAAACTTTTAAATTAAGAGCTGCTGAAAAATAGAGAAGTCTCTGATTAAATGAAAAACCTTAAGAACAGGTTCTAGCTTTTCATCCAAATTTGCAATCTGTGTAGACCACGCAATTATTGCCTGCCAAATAGCTTCATAAGTAGCGTGATGAACTGAAAGTTAATTAATCACATTCATGAAATCTTTTCCCTTTTTTACAGTTTCATATGCGACGCCCCATATGTTTGACTTGAAATTAGCATTAACATTCTAGAAACGAAAATGGAAATTGTCAGTTTTAGAGAGATCATGACATTACTTATATAGAGAATGGGTACAAAGTACTGATTAATGATGTACTGCATGAGCTACTGACCGTGGTTCAAGCTCAAACACAACTTTACATAAGAATACTGAAAACTTCTAAAGATAATACAAAAAGCAATAACCTTCAGAAATCAACAACCGATTCAGTTTTTGCAAAACATCTGAAGCAATTAAGTCACAAGCAATGTCATCCTTTATCCCGTGACAGCTCATCATTTTAAGAGTTTTCAAGACAGTTATTCTTTGAGTGGCATTTAAAACTTTTCCACTTGATCCTAAATTATTTTATGACGCATCACTCACGGAAATAGATCACAAAAGTTATGCTAAATGCTATAAATATGGAATGCTAATAAATCTTAAAAATACTACTAATAAACTTTACAGTTAATCCTATAACACTTTTTCAGCAAGCAGCCTATTAGTTAAAAGTTATTGAAACCATAATGATGTAAGACAGAAGAAATAAGAGACCTGAATATGTTCGGAATACTTCTTCAATTAGCTCTTTAAATATTTTAGGATCAGTGACTTTGGTAGCTAATGCAGCTATGGACAAGGAAGTGAGATTGCGAACTTCATCAACTGATACAATTAACGAAGCTGAAGGAATATGACAATTTTCAATTGAAATATGATAAATAATTCAAGGAAACATACCAGAAAGAATTTTATAAAGGTCACTGACAAAAAGAGACAGATCAATACGTATCGACTGCAGCAAATGCTGTACTCCTGAAAAAAATTCCATAAAAACCAGAAGTTACGGATGAAATAAATAGAAACGCTGATATGATGCCAATTTAATTCCATGATCATTCTATAAACTTTCGAGTGCAATAACAAAAGATATAAGAAACCAAAAATCGCAATTTCCGGACAGCGTAACATGGTTTTTTTAACGACTGCCATAATCACATCACGAAAAGTTGCTACATCTATTGTTTTAAATATTCCCGAACTAGCTTCCTGCAAAAAATTGAAACAACCTATTAATTTTTCAAAATGCAAAAATGAAAGTTGACTAAAAGAGTTAACTCAGAACCTTTCAGTCAGATGGAATTTTGATTAGTAAAATGAAAAACAATGAAGAAGAAAGAAATGCAAAAGAATTTTTTACTAGTGCAATGACACAACAATTATACTCTGAATTAACTTATACGCGACTACATGACTCATAATAGGTAACTTTGGTCTCTTTTTCTTGATAATTTAGATGATCATAGCACTGAATTTTCTATTTGCATTCGTTGAATTGATTTAACTATTTTTCTGATTGATGAAATAACGAAATAGAATTTAAAAAGCGGAAATAAGCAGGGAAAAATAAAAATGAATAATACCACAACAGCGACATTTGGATGCTGCTTCGCAAGAAGAACATTTGAGGTGAACACATCGACAAAAAATCCAAATTCAAAATTATCGCCAGTGCATGAAAGAAACGAAAGAAGAGCAAGAATATTTAATCCCGAAGATGGTTCAAGAGCATAGTGACTATGCATCCATTCAAAAACTGCTTGCAAAGATATTTTTTGGAGCATAGAATTTATTTTTCTTTCCATCTTCACGAATTTTCTGCTAGCACAGATAGGCAGTGCTACTGATAACAACGCTATCATCTGAAATGAAAAAATTTTAGAGTTATAACGAGAAACCGAGAAATACTGTTTAACATTTAAAATGTAAGTCATTTATTATGTGATAGACTAACATAATGATTGACGACAACAGCATTTTTGAAATCTAACCAACTACTGAGTCTGAACAGCCACTCAAGAGCAAGAATCGACTTTGCAACTGCCCATTTACTGAAAGCAAAGAGTCAAAAAATCTTCGCATAACATTACTACAGATATAAAATAGTTTTAGAAAATGACTTTTGAATATACTAACGAAGTATTGTAACTCTCAAAGAATGATGCATAAGAATTTGAAAGATATTTCATGGAGGCTGTTTGATCTCCCCGTATTAGAGCTGATATAACTGAAAAAACTGCAGCATACGATTGTCGATTTGAAATACGAGTGAAGCATGTCAAAACTGTTTGACGAATTAGAGCTTTTCTGATCTGATCTGATAAATCTGAAATATTTACAATATGTACAATCGCAATATTTCGAACAAAACATCGAGGTAAATATGAACAGCCAACAATGATACGAGTACCAATGACACGTGAAAGGTTTGAAATGAGCAACTGAGAAGCCATTTTATGTTGCTTAGGACTCGAGCTACTTAAACACTCAATGTACTTGCGAGCAACAACTTTAAGCCATTCTGCTGACTCCTGAAATTGAAGAATGAAAATAGCTAAGAAAATTGGTCGGATGGAATATGGCAAGCAGAAAATGACATGCTTACATTAGTTTCAGATAGATTAAGGTATCGTAAAATAGTTTAACTTTTTCCTTGTTGAAAATATTTGAAAATTAACTTCCAGATATGAAAATATCTTGAACTGAAAGAAAATGATTTACGTGCTCTCCAACGATCGCATTTGATTGTTCAGTTTTTTCTGCCATTGATAACACAGAGCAATTTCAATATTGAACCTCTAATTACAAATAATGAGTCAATTAAGCAGAAATTTTCTGAATGCAATAACTAACCGAGTGAAATTTAAATACTAAAATAATTCAACTCCTCTCGTACTCACACATGCACTATCTCATACTCCTTAATTTTTGAAACTTAAATTTGCACAATGAATACATTAAATGTAAGCACTGCAAACGCAAAGTACAAACGGATGGGTTAAATAGCAATGTGGTGAGGTCTCGGTTGTGGCGAGTGGTATCGCCACTGGTTTTATATTCGTTACTCTTTTTCGGATCATTTTCTGCATTTTTCTTGTTTTTCTCTCTAGTACTGCGATATAGAGCTGAGAACTTCGTCTGAATAATTAATTTTTCTCATTTCTTACTCGAAATTTTACAGAACTTTTATGAAATTGTACTGCAGTGGTTACATTTAGTAAGATGACTCTAGATATTAGGGAAATTTTGAAGCTGTATACTCTGAGGATTGTGCTGTTCCTGTTATTCATTATAATACACTTTTATGAGAATTTACTTGAGGCAGAACAGACTAAGCAGGTTACACAACATTTATATAGTTTTCGTTTCAAGTCTAAACGCACCGAAATGCGAATTTATCCGAAATTCTGAATACGAATTGACCTTTTATTTTATATTTTGCTGACCATTATTAACATTTTATTTGAACTTAATCAAAGCAGATATATTCAGCTAATTGCTTTCCATTTCTTATTTCATAAAAATGTAACAAGGCATGCATTGTAATCGATTATTAATATGCTATATATATATATATATTTTCGCGCATAAAGTTGCTCATTGTAGCTAAAAAAATTTTGTGTATTCTTTCGACTTTCAACCTTTAAACTGACTTTCTACAAAACCATCAGTTCAATTTTAACTTTGTAAATTGCTGCAACTGAATTAATTACAGATGCTATGATGTGGCCATTACACAACATTTTTATGGTTATGTGGGTAATGATGATTCTGCAGCTGATGAATTGCGAGCTTAAAGCAGCCGAATTGGATAATGAATTTGCCGAATTTGAAGAGGTAGAAGAAGAAGCACAAAAGATAGTTTTAAGGCCAGTCGAAGAAACTAATGAGTCCTATGAAGACAAAACGATAGCTACTGTAAGTTAATATTCATTCTTGTGTTGTCTTTAAATTATCGTTATCAAATCTGCCATGCGAAAAACTGTTTTATATCATTCATATAAATACTTTTCTATCCTTGATTTCCTTACACGAGGTTTTAAATACTATTTCACCCTCTTAATTTTTCTTTATGACTTAATTACTAATCTTTGTAAAGGATTAGTTGTTTATATTCTTGGTTAAGGAGGATCTTGATGACGATGAGTTTATTGAAGAGGAGGATGAGTTTGCAAGAAATGTCAAGAAAACTCGTCCTGAAAGGACCGAATCCAATGCACCACCTCCACTCAGATTTGCTGATGTATATATTTTTCATTTCAATTTCTTTAAAATTTTAATTTGTATTTCATATTGATTTAATTACTAATGATTTTAATTATATTTTTGCGGAAGCAATTTTCATGTGGATTAAGCAGAAGGAAATCTCACGAATTCACAATCAATTTAGGTGCCTGCTCATTTTCGGTCAAATTGGGCATCATATCAAGCAGAAGCTTTAGTGCTATCAATTCTAATAATATACATGATTAATTATGTCATTGGTCGCTCCAAAAATCAAAGTATCGCAAACAAATGGTTCATGGCTGCAACACCGTTCTTAGAAGAGCAGTTTACTCTCGTCGGAGATGATGGTACATCTGAAGAACTGAGGGAGGGCCATATGCACAAGGATACTGATTCGACTTACACAATATGGTAACATCCTCATGTTTTCCACTGAAAAGATTGGTTAATAGTTGTTCAAACTGCATGATCGAGTTTTTCTAAATCTGATTTCATTTATTTGATTACAGTCAAAAAGATCTATCTTGTCATCGAGTTTACTTGACTGTTCATTCAAAAACTTTACTAACAGCGATGATGTAAGTAAAGTTTTTGGAAAAAAGAAAAAGTGCATGGAATGAATATTTTAAATCATGTCATTTTCATTTCGTGATGTAATATGCTTTATATGCAGGTGCACAGGCCGAGTCGGCTGTCAAGGAATGTTAATTACTCTCAAATTGCTCAAAAGACAGGATTTAATTCATGTCATTTTGAATTTCATACGTCCAAAACAAGACAAGGTATTTTATTGTGGGAGGCAAATTTTTTCTGGAAAAATATTTGAAAATATTGTTCTTTTTCTTTTCAAATCAATATATTTAGGTTATTATACGTATCGACGTAGATCATAGTGAAATGGATTCATTCGTGTTTGCTATTGGTCACCGGAAATCAGTAACTAAAGCAGTTAAAGAAATGATGGACCTCGTAGGTTATCCTCAAAATTTCTCGGGGAGCTAGATAAAAGTATAATTTGCACAGTGTACGATCTTTCAGAGTATGTTTACGGTAGAACGAAAGGGTCTCGACAAAGTAGGGCTTTCTTCTTCAATTGTAGTTTACGCAGAAATATTCGAAGCAGTTAACGCAATTATTGATCCAACAATTTTGTCTGTATTTCGCAAGTATGAAAGTGCGATTGATTACTTTCATTTTTCAGATCAGTACTCTGGTTATAAACCATCCGAGTGAGTTTTTCTCATTGTAGTGTTTAGCATTTTTTGTGAGAATTCTGCAGATGTGCAATAATAAAATATCAGTACTATAATGTCGACGGTAATGTACATATGAAATTGAGTCACAAATCGCGCATGTTGGTATTTCACTCATCATCTGGTAATCATGTTGTAATTTTGATTATCTGAAATAACAGCCGAATGCCAGAGGAAGAAAATTAGAAACTGATTTTCAATACTTAGAACACCCATGTAATAATTGCATTTGTTAATTTCGATAATTTATTTGACGGTAAGATATGTTATTTATAATATTTTGTTTCAATTACATCAAATGCTTTAAAGATAAATAAGAGAAATATATTCATTCACCATGAGGAATATTCTAGCGGTGAAGCATTCACTCGATTGCCTGAAACATATCGAGTGCTCTTTTTCGCTCTCAAGATGGGTGATGATATAACGGAGCTTGAAGCGTTAATGAAAACAGTTTTTCACTGTTTCGAGAAAATAAGACGTTACCGTCTTTCAAGAGAAGGAAAACTAAAAGTAAGCATTTTTATTTAACAATGTAATTGTTTTCGAGTTATGAATTTTCCCATTTCAGCGTTGTTATTTGAATTTGTATATAATTAAAAAATTGTTTACACAAGTTATATCTTTCAGGCAGATAAGAAGCGACAAAGTGTGCAGGAAGCTTACATGAAAACAACACATCAAGCGAGGCAAGAGGCAGCTCAAGCTCGTAGAGAAGAGAAGACGCGAGAGCGGAAACAACGAATGTTAGAGGAAGAAGATCCAGAAAAACAGAGAAGACTGGAAGTGAGATTTAAATTTCTCAAGTCCCTTGCACTAAATTCTTCAACATCGTACCTCTTTTACTATATTTTTGTTTTTACCAGCTTTTCTATTTACAGAGATTAGAACAAAAACGTGATATGAAACTCAGGCAACCAAAAATGAAGCAGTTAAAAGTGAAATAATGAGTCAACCTCAGAAATCTCATGCGAGGTTGAGGACGATAACCTCAGTAAAAGTAATGTGCAAAAGTTTTGATTGCAAATACTGGCCTATTATGATTCTTTATTCTGCACTTGAGGTCCCTGGCGTGTCGGGCATATTGCCGAGGACGAAGCTGGAGTAGTGCTGGACAAAATATTTAACATTTAAAGTGATGAGTAATTAAATTCTTAAAAAATAATTTATGAATGAGAACACTAGGGATCTTAATCGCACTTGTTTGATATGCTTTTTATTATAATAATGTTATTGGTATTTTGAAATATCTGGAGAAAGTATCATTTCTCAGCATACCTATGTTTTGATCATAAAGACTTCATATAAGCTGCCTGTATGAAAACTCGATCTACAGAAAGATTTTTTTGATGGTTGACAGTTTTCCGTGAAAGATACATGCTTGTCACTTTGTGAAAACCTTTTTGTTGAAATAGCCTATCCACTTCTTCTGAAATCATAAATTTCTCAAGTTATTTGCAGGTAACGAATTTTTGTATTCTAAAAGACATCATAAAGTTTGCAGTTATGTCACACATGCAATAAAAATTGGCAGTGGTAGGGGTTTTCAAGCCTCACCTAGCTGAAAATAGTAGGCAACAGTGCCGTCTTGTTTTGCGTAAAATCGTTCATCTAATTTGCATTCTCGTCCATATCTGAGCATAGCATGATCGTTTATGCCATAGTCTCGTACAACAACTATACCCTGAGGTCTGAGTAAGCCGGTTAAGTTTTTTATAGCTTGTTGTTGCTTTTCAGGTGGAATGGAGCTAAGAACGAAAATTAAAGATGCTATGTCGGCTAGTGGAAAGTTCAAAGAAAGGTTTTCAGAGGTCAAATCTGCAACTGCAGTATTGATAAACACATTATTCTGGTCGCAACGTTCACATAACAGTTTGATCGCATTGTCAGAAAAGTCAAATGCTTGAAAAGTCCAATGAGGATAAAGCTGTGTAAGAGGGAAAACTGTGTTGCCAACACCACAACCGACTTCCAGGAAGTGCAAGTTTCCCTACAAAATACAGACTTTAGAATACGACAGAGTAGAGCTTTATGATAAGTGTTATTTGTAAGATCGATCTCTTGAGCACAAAGAGCAGTCAAGGCTAGATAAGTTTATATCAGGCTCATTATTTCCTACTCTTGGCAAACACTATCTGTTTTTCAGTATTCACAAACATGAGAAATCGCTAAGAACGTTTCACTCTTTTGCAGTAACCTCTAAATTTATGTGACTGCTAAGTAGCTGCCCGAATTCGTGTTGCGTCCACCATCTGTCTTTGAAGAAATTATTTTTGTTTCGCAGATAAAACTTGTCCCAGTTTTTCCTCAGTTCATTTTTCACTTTCATGCGTTTATAATCACTGACTGCTGTCTGTCTCCGCACTGTTTCTTTTTCTTCCTCGTCCAGTATTCTGGGTAACTTATACGACTCTGCAACTAGACTGACCGACCCTTCTGAGCTATTCGCAAGCAATCCGTCCATATTATTACTGAAAAAACCAGACAAAAACATGAAGTACAAGATCACACCTATCTTTTGCACCACCAGATATACTTTGATTCTTATCCATAAAACTGTACTGTCTGCTGGCAATCAAGTCAAAAGTCACTTTATTGCACAGGAAAAAACGACGATAAAGCAAAAATAAGTCAAAAAATAAGTGCAAATTACAGCTTCCCGATGTCCAGTAACTCATTAGTATC